CTGCTTTATTCTTCCTTCTCAGGATTGCTTTGGCTATTTGGGGTCTTTTGTGCTTCTATATGAATTTTAGAATTATTTGCTCTAGTTCATTGAAGAATGCTGCTGGTGTTTTGATAGGGATTGCATTGAATCTGTAGATTGTTTTAGGTAGGGTGGCCATTTTGACAATGTTAATTCTTCCTGTCCATGAGCACAGCATATGTTTCCATTTATTGGTAATTTTTTAATTTCTCTCATGAGTGTCTTGTAGTTTTCAGAGTGTAGGTCTTTCACTTCCTTGGTTAGGTTTATTCCTAAGAACTTTATTCTTTCTGATGCAATTGTGAATGTAATTGTTTTCCAGATTTCTCTTTCTGCTAGTTCATCGTTAGTGTATAGGAATGCAACAGATTTCTGTGTATTAATTCATATCCTGCAACTTTGATGAATTCAGATATTAGATCTAGTAGTTTTGGAGTGGATTCTTTAGGGTTTTTTATGTAGAATATCATGTCATCTGCAAACAGGGACAGTTTAACTTCTTCTTTACCAATCTGGATGCCTTGTATTTCTTTGTTTTGTCTGATTGCCATGGCTAGGACCTCCAGAACTATGTTGAATAAAAGTGAGGAGAATGGGCATCCTTGTCTTGTTCCCGATCTTAAAGGAAAAGCTTTCAGCTTCTCATTGTTAAGTATGATGTTGGTTGCGGGTTTGTCATATATGGCCTTTATTTAATGTAGAGGTACTTGCCCTCTATACCCACTTTGTTGAGAGTTTTTATCACATTTACCTTTGTAATCAGTGATTCTGAACTGAAAAGGGTACTTTTCTAATGCATTAAAAAATCACCAATTTATGGGCTTAATTGCTTTTCTATTTGAGTTTTCATTCCATGTGTGAAAAAGGGAAATTCATGTGAATTAAAACCTTAAAACTTAACTCATTATTTAAAAGTTTTATAGTTTAATGAAAATATAATTAATTGCCCCTTTTCTTTGACTTTTGCATGTATTACATCTTAGTCTGGAAATGCAGACGTGCCTGACTACAGTTTACTTAAGAAACAAGATCTGGTTCCAGGGACAGGATACAGATTCAGGGTTGCTGCCATCAATGGTTGTGGAATAGGCCCTTTCAGCAAAATCAGCGAATTTAAAACATGTATTCCTGGTTTTCCTGGAGCTCCTTCTGCAGTCAGAATTTCTAAGGTGAGACCTCAGGTCAAGACTTGGTGATTTAAGTTACTGAAACTTCGTACATGATCTAAAACTCAGTTTAGAGATTCTGTTAATGTCTGATGGAATGAGAGATGTCTGAAATGGGTGGATTAAAAGTTTAAAAAAATTTTTTTTGCTAATCACTCTTGATATTTTAAGGACCAAATTTTAAGCAGTATCATAACATCCAGATTACAGGAAGTCAAGAAAATTTGCTGTGTGTCTTAACATTAACTTTGTTCTATTGTATGGAACTGAAAAGTTAGTGGAGGATTTTAAGAGAACACATGAAATTGAATCATATTTTATCCTAAGGTCCTGCTCCTCCTTAGAGGAGAGAAGGTCTGCTTTCTGGTAAGAAAAATCCCTTTTTTGGGATAGTACAGGCAGATGTTTAGGCCTAGTTATGTTTTTGAAAGTGGGCATGAATTAAACATTGTAGATCCAATATCAGCAATAAAAATTCTAACATATAATGCAATTACTTCAGCAAAAAGCAGCATTTTGTGTTCTAAAGATAGTAATAATAGAGAAAACTTCAGAATCTTTACCTATTTTTTCCTCCCCTCTCTTCAAGAATATTGAGGGTATCCATCTTTCCTGGGAACCTCCAACTTCACCTTCTGGAAATATTTTGGAATATTCAGCCTACTTGGCTATTCGCACAGCACAAATACAAGATAACCCAAGTCAGCTTGTGTTTATGAGGATTTACTGTGGTCTTAAGACATCATGTGTAGTAACTGCTGGGCAACTTGCAAATGCCCATATTGATTATACATCCAGGCCTGCCATTGTGTTCAGGATATCAGCAAAGAATGAAAAGGGATATGGACCGGCTACACAAGTTCGATGGCTTCAAGGTAACAATAAAAAAGCACCTTTAAATTGAATTTTTTAAAACTGAAGCTATTGTGATGATTATTTATTAGTAACTGGTTATGAAGATTTGTCATTTAAAAGAGTATTCTCTCTGTATTGCTAGCAGTTTTGAATTTGAGTTTGTAAGTTGTTCTTAAAATGTATTTGCTTAATTCTAGATCCAAATAAAAATAGAAAAGAAGCAAAGACTCTCTGAAAATTAGTATATGGATTCTTCCTTACAGTTATAGCTCTTTTATAAAAGAAAATAGTAAAATTAAGATAAAAGCTAAAAAGCTTTATTACCCCAATATCTTTTATAAAGACCATGTAACTCAGTCATCCTAGAGTTACTGAGATGATTCTAGTAACTGGCTGTTGTACACTGTGCCGTCTTATATAGTTAATATTCTCTACATTGTAAAGGCCCTGTCTTTGAGTTCTTCTCTGACTTTATTCTATACGAGCTGTGGTCCTCTAACAACTATCTTCTACTGGATGATATTTGTGATACTAATTTTTAGTAGCCATTTAATCCATTTATTTATTTATCTACAGTTAGCACAGAACTTAAGAAATAAAAAAAGAAAGAGGCAAGTTCAGAAACTCTGCTTTTGAATTTTTATTATTTTCCAAGAATCATGTCCAAAAAGAATAATGGGTTCTCTTGATTCATACCAGGCTGATATACTGGAATATATTTTTGGCCAAAGCACTTAACTTAACCTGGTCCTGAATTTCCTCATCAATAGATGAAGGAGTTAAAGGAATTTATTCTTAGGGTCCCTTTCAGTACTGAAATTCTGTATTTTCATCAGAAGGAAGTATATCCCTAAACATTTTAACATTTGTCTTAATGGCTGTAACTTTGTTTTTGCTGAAACTAAAACATTCATAATTTAAAATTCAAAATTAAAGTACATGTTCTCCTTATTGCAGAAAGAAAGAAGCACCTTAAAGGACACACGTTTTGAAATAGTGTTTTAAACATTTGTAAGATTTTTGTAAATGCTCCAAATGTTTTATTTTTGCATTGTTTTTACCTTGAAATTGTATAAACTTTTTTACAACTGAAATATAAGCATTAGACAGCTAACTCAGGTTCCATTACAACCTTAAAGATGCAGATAGGCATTATGGATACTCTGCTACAGGTAACTTGTTTTAAACCTTTTAGAAATTTCATAGTCCCACTGCCTATTCAAATCTGGAATGAATATACAGAGCAATAAAATAATTGCAGAAAAGATATTTCAAGCTAAGAGCTGCAGTAACTGCAGGGACATAGGTCTTAGCTTTTTATACTGTGTAACCTTATGCCAGTTTAGGTTGACTGAGTAGCTATGTCCTCAAACTTCATGTATAATACTCCCAGCAAAGATGGATTTAATTGTGCAGAATTGATATATATGTATGTTCCAGTTCTTAATTTAAAGTGTATAGAATATTTTAATATATAATTTTTGTAAAGAATTGGGATTTTTATACTACAGTGTTTGTAATTAATGTGTCTCACTAATTAAGTTTCTCTTGAAGAAAATATGCAAACTGTTAGACACGTAATGAGTGATTTCCAAACTCTAAAGGTAAAATAAATGCACTACTATGGTGTTAGAATACCTTTTTTGTGGCTGTATGAATCCTTAATCTTTAAATGAATACTTTACAAACAATGTTTACAAGGAGCTTTTCTGGTTTGTTATCCCAGCACCTCCCTTGCTGAGAGCTTTCATTTTGCATTTGTTTAACTCATATGCTTTGCTTTTGGCATATGCTTGCTTTTTGCACTAGTAGAATTTTAACTTACCTCATTATTGTGTTTGTAATCATTTATATAGCTTCCATAATATGTCTGATATAGGCTAAACAAATACTTAACCAAAGTTAAAATAAATGGTAAGCAATTTTGCACATATTAAATGCTAGGGTTTGTTGTGTGTATGTGTGCGTTTAGTTATAAAAAGGGTAAGAATGGAAAGTTATAGTAACTATATTTTTCAAGCCCAATTATTTTAATGATCTCTTTGCTTTAATAGAAAAAGTCTGGCTTTTTAGTCCCTTATTCTCTTCATTAAATAACAGTTTGCATCATGAAGCACTTCTCCTAATGACAAGGAATAAGTTGACTTTCAGCAAAGAGTAGAATATTTGTTTGAATCTGCACATTTATATGTATTTAGTATTTGGCTTAGTTTACTTTGCTTAAAACTCTCTACTGTTCTAGACCAGGAGGTGAATATAAACCTGTGGTTCTAACATATGTCTTATTTTCTAAAGAGTAAGGCAGTGTTTCTACACCAAGGGATTTTTAAAAATAACAAATGTTTTTACTTTGAGAATTAGCCCAGATTCTGTTACCTTTTTCTGGCATTTGTACATTAAGCATCAGTCACATTTATCTCTCTGATAAGTGATTGGTAACTGAAAGATGCCATTAAGAAATCTCTGTGACTTTGGTATTAGTAGGTGAGAGATCTTTGAGCTGGTGTGTTCAAGAATAGAATGAATTGGGGCAGAAAGCAGGAGACATGCATTTAGGTTCTTATGATTTGCACATTTTCTAAGTGAAGATCCTTTTGAGTAGCAGTGGGGTATATCATGCAGTATCTTTCAGAAGAGACTTTGGTATTAGTAGGTGAGAGATCTTTGAGCTGGTGTGTTCAAGAATAGAATGAATTGGGGCAGAAAGCAGGAGACATGCATTTAGGTTCTTATGATTTGCACATTTTCTAAGTGAAGATCCTTTTGAGTAGCAGTGGGGTATATCATGCAGTATCTTTCAGAAGAGAATTTACACTGAATTAAATTACTTTCTTCCCTCCTCCCAGCTGGATAAGCAATTCAGATATACAAGCCTTTTGGTCACAGTCCTCTTCCTGGGCTCTGCAACTTTGGTTCACATATGCAGTAAAAGATTTTGATGTTGCATGCTCTTAGAATTATGTTTTCTAAAATATTGTATTGGCTTCATTTTAGTTTAGTAAACTGTTTTGGCAGCTTAACTAGAAATAGGATATTATAAACTCAGTTTTATTTGCATTAAAAAAAAACAAATAATCTGATTGCATGTATGAGGCCCCCTGTCCTATAACCCAATTAGATAAATATAGTCATGTATAAGAAGATGAAACTGTTGATCCATCATTTCAAATGCTTATAGACTAGGAAAGATTTGTTCTGGTTAGAGATATGGTCTACTTTAACTGAAGATGTTTTTAATTTAAAAATTGCAGCACTTGTAGCAGAAAAATTATTTGTAACTTTAGATATGAAGAGATTATTAGTATTTAAAATTATTGTAGTCATCTGATCATCAATGAAGTAGGTTGCAAAACAGACTTGGTCTTTGGCCATTTAAGGTAAAGCTAACAGTTATGTTTTTGAAGACTGATTTCAGGCAGTTTTATGTATTGTATACCAATGATATGTAAAATAAAGCACCTTTTATACTATAACCAATTACAGGTGTTATTTATTTTGAACTACATGAAAAGAAAATTAGTGATGGCAGAGTAAATCTATAGAAATGTTGATTTTATATAATTCACTTAATATAGGAGCCTCATAAAGAATGGATTGTGTCTAGAAATTTGTTTTTAAATTAGTGGATTGTTTTGGGGAGTCATTTTCTTACAGAAATGTAAAGCCTATGTTAACCCTTATTGTAGCTGAACTAGTATGCTTTAAAGTAAAGAAGGCAAATGGCTACTAGAAACAGTCTGGATTTGTCACCTCTTCTTTGTCTATTTACTCTTATGTTTTTTTCTTTATGCTTTTTACTGATTTTAATTCACAGAGCCAGGCTTCTATACTGCTACTCCATCAAAATGATGCTAGCAAAGGTCAGTGATAACTTCTCATTTCCCAAACCCAATGAATTCTTCCATTGTACTTAATCTTGTCTTTTGAAATTTTTAACGACTGGCTGATGCTTTCACATGTTCTTAGAAGTAGTACTGTGCTCTTTCTTTATGCAGTCCTCCTGTCTGCGGTTCTCTCTCCACTCCCACCAGTTGCCATTCTTTTTTTCAAAATTAAGGTCAAATGTTGCCAATCTGATGATGCCTTTCCAGACATACTCCATTTCCAGGTAGATTTGACCCCTTCTTTTTGTGCCCCCACAGTCCTTTGTTAAATCTTTGGTCACAGCAGCCTAAAGACCCTTTGCCCTTTTTTGTTAGCCTTGTTCTTCTCCCTCTCTCAGGTCTTTGAGGCAGAGACTGGATCTTCATATCTCTTCCATATCAGCCACTTAGCTGGTACTTAAATATTTTAAACAAATGATTAAAGAAAATTTTCAGCTTTAACATCTCTCCATGCTCTTATTCCCCCTCTCAAATTGGGGTCAGAAATGGGAGGGAGGCTTTGAAAGGGAAAGAGATTTTAACCAATTTAATAAACTGGAGGAAATACAAACTCCAGCTTTGTCTTATCCTACCCTTTTCTTACTTAGGTTCCTAAGAGAAGTTCTGGAATACATAAGGGATGTGTCACATATTTACTAGGCTAAAAGGGATTTAATACAGGTATGTAAAGATCTCAAGAGGAAATCTTTAATCTAAAAAGATCTGAGCATTTAGCAAGATTGTTGGATTATGATTTCTAACATTGGATGATCCTGGAAAGTGAGCTAAAAATATTTCCAAAGTTAATCTCTCTGATTTCCATATAGGAGAGTCATGGTCAATTAACATTAGAAAAATGTTACATTTTCTAATGTCAGGAAAAACCAATTTCTAACATTAGGAATAACTACCTACCGATTTAATATCTAAGCCCTGGGAATTGCTGGAGGACCCAGAACCAACAGCATTAGAACCACTGGCTTCTGTTACCTCTCTCAGGTCACTGTTGTCACCTCTGAACTGACTAGTACCAAGGATTCTTACACTACTAGAAAACAAGAGGACATTGGTACACTTCCCTTCCACGTTTCCCAGTTATAGTTGCAATTCCTGTACTTACAGATTTCTGTAACTCAGAAAAAAGCTTTTTTTAAAATCATGCCTGGAGAAACATGAATTGTAACATTCTGGGGAGAAAGAATATTCTATAAACTGAATGAAGAAAGAAAAGGCTGTAAAATCCAAGGATACCAGCCTCCTTGTTCAAAATAGATTTCTATGTCTTATTAGTATCTATTTGCTTGTTTTCTGTCCTTTGCAGAACCCAGAATCAGGAAAATGTCCATAGTTCTTGAACTGTTAATCTCAACAATATCATCTGAAACTGAGAATGAGGTTTTTTGTGTGTTTGGTATCTTGGATAAACTGAATTGAGTAAGGGCCTGGTACTGTCATCAGATTTGCAGTCTGACTACCACTGATGCCAGTACCTCAAATTCAGAAGTCTTGAGAATATAGAGTTATGAAGCCTATAGCCTCGGATAGAGAGAAAGCTAGGAAGCCATAGGTAGGTGGCCGTGAAGGCAGCAGCAGGATTCCATTATTTCCTGACTTGATTTTGCTGGTTCAACCAAAAGACTTTGCAGAGTATGCAGAGATGTCAGGGTGTTTACATATAACCCCCGCAGATAATAAAAGTGCCAAAAGTATAAACTGGTGGCATATCAGTGAAGGAAGCCCCCCTACCACTGCCCCCCATCTTGTCTACTCCCCCTTCCTGCTGTCCTTACTACCCAGAGACAAGAAGCTAAAGGATGCATCATTCCTCAGCATGAGAATGGAGGAAGGCACAAGGAAAATCCTTTGTGTCTGAGCATATACAGGTTAAAAATAAAAGGTAGCAGCTGGTATTTGTTTTTGAACATAGAGAAACATTGTCCACTAGTAAATCATGGTCGAAAAAATGTCAGAGTTGACCAAAAGTACTGTTCATTCTTCTCCTGTCTGGAGAGAGTATAAATTCCCTAAGAACTTGAGAAGGTTCCCTCCTAATTTCTCTATTTCTTATTGGAGAAGGAGGAAAGAACTACAGGATAGAACAAAGGGTGAGTGTGCCACTTACGGCAGCATAGCTTGTTGAAGAGTAGGCAGTCTGAAGGTCGAACTAACTGCTCGATCCAAAATCACCCTGCTGCCTGTTGCAGTTTAGCACCCCCTGGTGGCATTACCCATTCTAGCTTAAATAGTGGGTCCTGTAGCTGCCTGAGACTTTTTAAATAACTACAGTAATAGCTGGAACTTTCTGGTGAGTTGGCACCCCTTTGTTAGACCCAGTTGGGCAGAGGGGACCTGGAGAACACACTTTCTACTTCCTCATTTCCTGGGGATGGGTTTCGGGCCTTTTGCTGCTGGGCCTCGTCTACCTCTTTTAGCCTGCCCTGTTTGGCTATAGGGAACAAATTGAATATTTCAAGATTATTTTTTCCTCGAAATTTAAAATAATATAACAAAGTTTATAGCTAATTCCCTCAGTCAGGAGAAATTGTACTCTAACTGTGTCTTGTTTGATCTGCAAAATGGCATCGCCAGCCATGGCCTTGGCAAAAATGTGATTACAAAATTGTTAAATTTGTGTGACCAACCTGACACCTGTTACTGATCAATGTGGCAAAACAATCAATAGCTACCATGCACTTTCTGTGTTTTGGATTACTTAACCCATAAATGCATTATCAGGAGAATGTGCCAAAGGGAATTTGTACTTTGAAAATAGAGACAGGTGGTTGTCTTTGTCAGTTTATTTTGGGATTGCATCACTTATCATACCATTCTCTGCTTTATACAAATAATTATACCCAACAAACAAAGTTACCAATTAACCAGAATCATTCCCGTAACTCTGGGCAACTTGGCAGAGAGTACTACAATACATCTCATTGGATCCTGACCCTATGGGAACCTAGTTAACCTTTGTGAGGAATTGCCCATACACATTCCTTTTTTCATATTATCATGTATTTCTTCCCCACCAGATACAATTATTGACTGATTTACAATGTATAGCAGTGGCTGAAATATTGGGAGATGTTCTCCCTTTGTTAAAATTGCATTACATAACTCATCTTTTTTCTTTTAAAATGTTATGAAACAAGTAAAATGATCACACATGTAACCTTCAGCTTAAGAACTAGAACATTCTCAGATGCCTAGAATCCCCCATTGTCTTCCCTCCACTTACACCTCACAAGGTAAACATAACTCTGGATTTTTTATTGATAATTTCCATGTTTTAATTTATGGTTCTACTGTCCACATATGTACCCCTAATATGTTGCTCACATTTACTTGTTTTTGAATTTTTATGGTAATGGTATCATGCTGTATTTTATTCTTCTGACTTTTTCTGACATTGTTTTTGAGATTCCCATCCATGTTTATGTATGTAACTGTATTTCATTTGTTTTCACCACTGTGTAGTATTCCATTGTATGACTACCACAATTTATTAATATGTTTTTCTGTTCACGGGGATTTGGATTATTTTCAGTATTTGGCTATTATGAATGCTGTTGTGAACATTTTGTTAACTACAATGTAAGCTCCATGTGGGCAGGGCTTCAGTCTGTTTTGACTGATTTTGTCTGTAGATATTTACAGTGTCTAGAACAATACCTGGCACATGGTAGATGCCCAATAAATATTTGAGGAATGAATGTATTCTTGTATGTGTCTCCTGGTGCACATGTACAAGAGTTGGGCAGCTGTTTTCAAAGTGTGGTTTTAGGATCCCTGAGGATCCCTGAGACCCTTTCAGGAAACCTGTGAGGACAAACTATTTTCCTAAGAATATCAAAACATTATTTGACCTTTTCACTCTGATTTTTTCATGAGTTTAAATATATGCCAGATATATGATGATGTTATCACTTTGACAGCTAATCACTTGTGTTGTGTACTTGTGTATTTTTGTTTGAAAATGTCTGTTTTAACATCTAATATGGTAATTGCTAGTATGGTATTGATAAATATAACCCACATGAAGAATAGCTTTTTGAGGTCCTCAGTAATTTTTGAAGATTCTCAGTAATTTTTAAGAATTTATGGAGGTTCTGAGACCAAAAATATGAAAACTGCTGCTCTAAGAAGCAGGTTTTACTTGGCCATGCTGAACGGTCTTCTAAAGCATTTGTAACAGTTCATGCTCCCACCGGCAGTGGTTGAGTGTCACTGCTCCACATCTCAGCACGTATTTTGTGTTGACTATCTTTTATATTTGCCAATCAGATGGTGATTATATGGTATCTGACTGTGGGTTTAATTTGCATTTCCCTGGTTACTAATGAAATTGAGTCTTTTTTTTTTCCATATATGAATGTGTTTCTTTGTGAAATATTTGTTCATGTCTTTTGCCCATTTTTCTCTTTAGTACGTCTTTTTTTCATTGATTAGCATGATTTCTTTATATAGTATGGATACCAACCCTTTGTCAGTTAAACATGTAAATATATCTTCTCCCAGTCTGTGTATTGTCTTTTGTAATTGTATTGAATCTGTTGATCAGTGTGGGGAAAATTGGTATTTTTTCAATAATGAGTCTTCCTAACCGAACACACTGTGTATCTCTCCATTTATTTGGTCTTCTTTCAATATCTCTCAATAAATTTTAATAATTTTTCTCCGTAAAGCCCTTCATGTCTTATATTAGATTCTTCCTAGGAGTTTTATCTATTTTTGATGCTATGGTAAGTTTTTTAAAATTACACTTTCTATTCTAACCAGTTTTTGCTGATTACGGATGTACTGTTGCTATGTGTTGGTTTTGGATTCAGCAGCCTTGTTAAAATTTTATTAGTTCTAATAATATATCTAGATATCCTTTTGAGTTTTTTTTAATATAACCATACCATCTGCAAATAGTGCAAGTTTTATTTCTGATCCTTCTGCCATTTAAAAAAATTTCTTATATTCCTGCACTGGCTGGGCCCTGTAGTACAATGTTGAAAAGTACTGCTAGTGAACATCCTTGTCTTAAAATCTCCCAGTTTAAAGGGAATGTGTTAACTTTCAGTTCAGCTTTTTTTTTTTCCATAAACGGCCTTTTTCACATTAGGAGATTCTCTTTCTAGTTTGCTAGTAGTTTTATTATGAGTGGATGTTGACTTTTATTGAATGTTTTTTTTCCTCTATTCAAATGTTTTTTTCTTTTAATATTAATGTATTAAAGTATGGTAGTTGACTTTTTAATACTGAATCAACCTCTAATTCCTAGGATGAACCAAAAGTGGTCATGTTGTGTGTATGTTTTAATACATTGCAGGACTTAATTTGCCAATATTATGTTTAAGATTTTTGCTTCTATGTTCATGAGAGCAAAATCAGTTTATAATACTCCTTTTATGTCTTGTCATTGTCTGGTTTCAGTATCAAGGTTATATTAACCTCATGAAATGAGTTTTTGAGTTGTCTGGAAGACTTCATAATTGAAAATTGAAACTAGTCTTTAAAACCTTTTGGTCATTAAGAGATTTTTAACTATTCCATTTCCTTAAGGATTTATAAGATCATTAGGATTATGTATTAAGTCAGTTTGTTAAATTTAATAAATTTTTCTCAAAATTTTCCATTTCATCTTAAGATTTTTTTTTATATGAAATTGTCCATATTTTTCTTTTTAGTTTCCATATCATCTGTAGTTAGGGCACTTTTTCATTCCTATTAGCTTATTTGTGCCTTATTTTTTTCTTGATTGATCCTTCCAGAGGTTTGAATATTTAACTCATTAGTTATTTTTAAAGTATATTTTCATATGCTAGGGGTGAGTTGTCCTTCATCTTTGTAATATTTTGCCAAAGAATATGAGCTATTTCAATTTTCTGAAATTTGAGACTAGCTTTATGATTGATCATACAATCATTTTCATAAGTGCTCCATGTGTACTTGAGAAGAGTGTGTATTCCCCCAGTTTAGTGTTCATTGGATCAAATTTGTTAGCTATGCTAACACACATCTTCTCTTAACTGATTTACCTTATACTTGATTTCTTATTTACTGAAGAGTCTCAAGACCTAAGTTGATTTCTCAGTTTCTCTTGAGGATGTCAGTATTTGCTTTAACTTTTGGCTTCAGTAGATGCATATTAATTTAGAATTTTCTATCTTCCCTGGTGAATTGAACTCTTTATAACTGTAGTCACTGTACCTCTATGAATGTCTGTTGGCTTCATCTTTTTGTTGTTACTTACTAAAGCAGTATTTTGGTTAGTTCTTATCTGAATATCTTAGATCTCTGACTTTGAGTTTGCAGGAGACACACTTAAAAGATAAGGCCAAAGAAAATCTTGTACTAAACTGGATAGTTTTGTACATTTATGTCTATGGTGATTACAAATGTAAGTTGGACTTAGCTCTAGATCTAGATCCTAATCATGGTTTTTTTTGTCCATCCCTCTTTTTGCCTTGGCTTTCATTTTTCACTTTTTTGTTCTTTTTCCTCCTCCTCTTGGGTTTTTATTTTCAATTACTATACTTTTTAAGAATTGTTCGGTTTATAAATCTCATTTATTCTGTGTAATCTTTTGCTCCTTAACTCATACTTTACATGCTTCTGTTCTTTTCTTTACACATCATTAATTTGTCCTGTATTGATACCAATACTGGGTCTTTGGGGATGATTATACTGTCTATTGTGTATAAACTACTGTTTCAGTCATGGTGCCATTTTCCCTGGAGTTTTGTGATGTTTTAAACTTACTTTTCTTGGGAAGTAAGGAATTACTTGAAGTATGGACTGAAATCGCGATCCTTGAATTTTCAGTCCATACTTCAGTCTCGCGATCCTCTGCCAGACACCCAGGAGCTAACAACCGGAGAGCGCTCTTACCGGCTTGAAGGTGCTGTCGTTTCAGTTCACACACCTTGAGGGCTGGCCGATGTCTATGAATTTGAGGGTGGTGGCGATTTATTCCACTTCGCCCAGCACCAACCGGTAGGCAAGGTTCCCTGCTGCCCACTTCTCTGCAGTGGCCCTACCAGCCTCCAGCTGAGGGGAGCCTCCAGCCCATGGTCTCCAGAGTTCCAAGGAACTCTTGAGCAAAAGCCGACTTGGGCTGTTTACCTCACAGGCTTCCTGTTTTCACAACTTCTGGAGTTTTTCAGATGTCTTACTTTCATGTCAACTCAGTGACACATTTAAAAATATATTTTGTATTATTTAATATTACTTTACATCGTTTCTTGTATTTTATTTAGCATTGTTTTTTGTTCAACCAGGAGTTATTGCGGTTATCTAGACGAGGGCCTTACTCTTGGAAATGAAGTCTCAATTAGGATACCTACTTCTCTTCTTTGCAGTCCTGCAAGATAGCAATTATTTATGGTATGGGGGCTGCTACTTGCAACGTTGGAAATGTACAAAAGAAGCCATTTTTTAAAAGTTATGCTCCTCCTCCAAAGGAAGGAATGGCTCACATATGTTCTTTGATCACTGACTGCTTCTGTCTCAAAGGTTTGGATTTGGTTTCTTGTAAACCTAGTATTAGGCATTGTGTGTGCATGAATGAGCCCTCTTGGCATTCCTGTCCTAGCTAAAGGCACTGTCTGTTATGGCTTGTCTTTGCTTAGCAACTTGTTTTCAATCAATTACCCAGTGTTCAAGGTTCAGAAATATCTTTCATTCAGATATACTCTGAAATTGAGCCCCGGAAAACAGATGCAAAAGAAAGGCACAAAACTGTTACTGTTTGCTCTTCGGCAGGCTTAAGTTACAGCTTAAAGAGGTAAAAGTTTATGCTGTTAGTGTCAGAATTTTTAAAGCTAAAGTGTTTTTGTGGAAAATGGAGGAATTACCTATCAACTTGTAATTTCCATCCCTAAAACTAATACATGGCCATTAGGTTTCTACAAGAAGCCAGCACATATTTTACTATCTGGCACACTTACTGGCATTAACCTTAGCAAAGGAATTCTTACAATACAGTACCTTGCACAGGTATCTACTTAATACACAGTGAAAAAGAAAACTGTCTCTGGAATAAGGTCAGGGAAAGTTGGAACTATTATTAGGCAAGCTTGTGTCATGAAAGGTGATGGCCAGAAGCCAGAGAAATGAATCTGTCCGAATGCCATCTGGCCAGTGATTTGAAGGAATTCTGCCTTATGGTTTTAAGATCAGATATAAAAAGCAACACAGACTTAAAAGAAGTATCTAAGGGGCTGTAGCAGCTAACATACGGGCTGTGTACAAACCTATTCAGTTTTGAGTGGTACTATTTTCTGTATTTGGTGATTAGTACAAAGTTTTTATGAAAGTTTTAAAGACTTCTCCAGTAAAGGTTAAGCTGAGACCTGAAGGGGAGGAGTGGGACTTAGCCAGGCAGAAGAGAAAGAATGTACTGAGCAGAAGTATATGTGTTTAAGGCCATAGCAGGGGGGTAGAAGACAAAGAACATGGCACAAGGACCCAAGAGATCACAGGATGGTAGAACAGTGAGCAACAGGAAGCTAAATGTGGTGAAGTGAGCAAAGATTTCCAGCTCTGAAAGAAACCGTAAATGAAAGCTGAGTATTTTTAGATAGTATACTACAGCTGCTTGAAAAACAAAGTTCTATTTTTTACTCATGTGCACGTTATATGACTTAATGAGTTTAAAGTCAATATATATATATATAATTACATAAACTAATATATAAAAAACTTACTTTAGGGAAACCAAAAAGATATTTAAAATAGACTAGCTTTTGGTTTAGATCTTACCTAATATCACTTATTTGACCGAATTCAAAGTATATTTTACTACATGAAGTAACAAACATTGTCTTGTTTTGGACTGTTGGTTAAGTAACAACTTTCCCCTAGATATTTTTTTAAAAAGAAACCTGCCCTGCAATATTTCATTTCTAGCAAATGGTAGAAAGTTCCCCCCCCCCATTTTTCACACCTAAATGATACTGCTGTTGACATCCTTTTAGTTGGGCCCTCATAACTATGTTCAGTTACCACTATTAAAGGTAACTGGTATTCCTTTAGTCCACTAAGGCAGTCCAGAAAATATTCAATAAGGCATGTTTTTGAAGAAAGGAAAATATTGCATAGATACTACACTGTAGGAGAAAAATAAATACAAATAGCTTAAAACATCATCATCCAAGTATATGACATTAGGAAGGTAGCATTAAAAAAAAAACTGTCTCTGGCCTAAAGCATCTTCACTATAATGAGGTAGTGAGGGGATGAACAGAGGCCACTAAAGTCCCTTAGTAACTGAAGCCCATTTCTCTCTTAGATACTCATAAAACTAATAAATACAAAGTTGTTTAAAAAATACTTTTAGGTTAATATAAGAACTTATATACTTAAATTCTGGGGGGAAGAAAACATGACTTCAACTAAATGCAGCACAGGCCAAGAGACTGTATCTGATGCATGCACAATGCCAGTGTCCTTCCAGTATGGCCACATAACCCAAAGTTGGCCTGATTTGACCCAGTTCTAAGTCAGTACTACCAGCAAATTATTACATTCAGAAAATTGTTCTGAATTGCTATATATTGATATAAATTTTAAAGTTGTCCAGATTCCTTTTCATCTTGATTCTTAAACATAACCCAATCTTTAATTTTAGAGGAAGAGTCTGATAACCAAAAACCAAGTATTTTTATCAGTTACAGAGACAAACTGCCTTGATCAAATGGAAGGTATTTAAAAAATAGTAACCAGCACTGTAAAAGCATAAAAGCATTATAACCAGAACAACAAAAATTATGATAATAATATCCTCAAACCTGAAGAGATTGATTGCCACCAAGTGGTCATTCCACCCATATTCAAACCAGTCCTACTCAGATGAGTCCATGACTTGCATTTAGATAAAAGTATCAAAAACCTTAAAATTTTGTATGTATGTTAACCCAGAAATTTACTTCTAAGAATTTAAGAAAACAGTTGTGGATGTATACAGGTTCAGTTAAGTGTTATCTCTATGAAAAGACGTATATAGTCAGAATGCCTAATTGGAGATTAAATAAATTATGGTTCAGCCATATAACAGAGTAATAAATGAATAAAAAGAGAAGACTATGTAAGGACCCAGAAAAGATGTTCACAGTATATTAAGTGAAAAAAAGCAAGTTATAAAACAGTATGGAAGTATGAGCCTATTTTTATAAAAATATACATATTTAGCAAAATAAAAGGACAAATGATATTTACCAAAATATTTCAACATAGTAGGATAATGGTTGATTTTTACTTAACCACTACCCCTCCCCATCACCTTTTTTTTTTTGCCTATTTGGAGTTTTCTGTAGTGAAGATTGCTTTATAAATGAGAATGTATTGAGGAGTTATTAACCTCAGATTAGCCCAAATATGCCCCCAGAGGATCCTTCTGGCAAAGTAAAGTTCCTTTCAGCCTGTATCATCTTCTTGTAATTGCTTCTACCTTATAAATTTGAGTGTCACTCCAACTGCCTTTTGGGCCAACTATACAATACCAAATGTTGATTAAAACAAAACAAAACAAAAAAACAGCACAACACCCAAATTAATATCACCAAAAAGAATTAAGAAAATACAAAACCTACTTTTGAAAAGGAACAACCCAAGTACATACTATTACATTATACAAAGTTACATTATCTAAGTTTAGTTTATTGCAAAATTAGGACAGCACACCAGAAGTTGGCAGCTTCTGTTTCACACCATTCATAGCACTCACTCTGTTCTCCATTTCATTCACTCACCCATGCAAAAAAAGGTCTGTATTCACACAATGATGTCTGACATTCTTGGTTTCCATAGCATAATAGGAAACTAGACGTTTCAATTAAAAAGGTTAAATGAGGACATTTACTATAAGACTATAAAACTCCTCTTCTGAAAGAGGATACTGTATAGTATTTGAAGATAATGCTTTGGAAAAATCATACAAAAAATGAAAGGGGCACCATTTCAAGAGCACTAGGACTACATTAAATTTAAATGAATTCCAACTCGTAATAAGTAACTCAAAAACAAAACTAGTCTTAACAAAAACTCCAATAAACTAAAACTATCTTAACAGGCACAATGAACAGTGTAAACACTGTTAATGGGCACCAAGTTTAATAGGGCAGACAATATTTGCTTCTGCATTCACACTTAACTTTTCAATTACATTTTTTTAAAAATGGTGCTGCTTAAGCTATGAATGTTTTACAAAAAAATGAGTTTTAATAAATATGGCAAATGCTAAAAATCTAGCTAAGTTACATGCAAGATATATAACCAAGACAAACTGAAATTTATAATAAAGGCAACTTGCATTCAAAATGAACTCTACCCTTATACTTTATTAAAAGGGCAAACATCATGAATTAACCCAGCTGCTTACTTGAATTACAAAAGTAACATGATTCAATATGAAAATAAGAAACTGTCTACAAATCTCTGACAGTAATAAATTGCAATATACAATGCATACAGGAGTCATACAGAGCAACAAACTCGTTTAATGCCTTTAAAATCCAAATTTTTCTTTAAAATCATTCATGAAAAAGATTCTCAAGTCAGAATTAACACCTCAATTAGTCAAGCATCGGGAAGCTACATTACAGCTACTTAATACACAAAGAGACATCTATACAGTTATGTATTTTAAGAAAACGATTTTAACAACCTTCTTTATTATCAGGTTTTTAATAATAGTGTTGACAATTAAATACCTGTGATAAAAATCAATGGATTCAATCAATTTTTAAAATAATTTAAAATACAAAGAAAGAAGGTACTGTACCTGTTGATACGATGTTGTATAAACCATAACATTTTGTTGTTGGCCATCTGCAGTTATTAAACCAGCTGGTAACTGGTTAGCTAAAAGAAAAAAAAGTTAAAACAGGTAAAGAATCACACGTAATTTCTTGGCCTAAACCTTAACATTGTGCCATTATGTGTCATTACAGTTCTGCCACTTATCGATGTTATCTTGAGCAAAATCATAACCCCCCAAATTTTCCATTTTAAAAAACACTCCCTAAAAATTAGCACCTTTTGGATTTTACATGAGAAATATTAAATGTATATATACAAACTTCATAAGAGAAATATAGTCATCACAGACCTTTCATTTCACCAGTATGATAAGATACTCAGTTTTAAAACCTTCTGTTCAAATTTATTTAAATCATACGATTTTTCTTTTACAAACTACCATTCTCAAATGGTATCTCAATAGAGATATGATTCCTATCTCATGAGAATCTCAAACCAAAAACTACGGCCTGTGGAACTTAGAACTATTGGTGAAGATGATAATATCTGCAGAATAATTATCCCTCACTGACTTCAAATACAAGGGCATCAAATAATAAGAACTACCCAAAATAGTGCTGTGTCAAAATACTCAGCGCTGATATTCCGAAAGCAGGACTACAGACAGTTAGTATTAATCACTGCTAACAATACAGATGACTTGCAAGAATAAACTGCGTTGCACCAACACATCACAGTGCTGCTTACTAAAGGCCTCCTCTGTGAGCTCCTCACTCAGTCCATCTGTAGCTGCGACCGTTCCACCAATTCCTTTCTCTCCTTTCATAGCCTGGGGAAGGAGACAGAAAAAGTAATCACTGGTACTCAGAAGAAACTGTTTTGTAAATGAGAATGCTTGCTTCCTTCCTCAAAGAGCTTCTATTATTACAAAACTGCACAGAGTATTTTATTAACACTTCTGGTTAATTACATACGAAGAGACCCTTCAAAATACTAACTTTTTATATAAGTACCAGTCATCCCAAGACAGTATTAGTAATGCCTAGAAAACCTACTATATTTATGGGTTAAAAAAAAATTATTCTAATTCCAAACTACCTCAAAAGTAAAACATAAGTCTACTTATAGATGAAGGACTCTGTAAAATACTATAAATATTTAGCTTATAAATCTACTAGAAATTATTGAAGTTATCGTTTATATATACAGCTCTCAGCCACATGGGAAATACTATAGCATCAAGTTTAGACTTTAAAATTCCTACATCAAAATTACAGTTTGGACCAAAGATCTCTTAAGTTTCTGTCCACTCTACAGTTCTGATGCTAAGTATTTGGGAAAGTACTGTGAGGAATTTACCCATTCTCTTCCTACTTTAATCAATTCCATGCAAGTATCACTAATGTAATGGGATTATAACATTAAAAATATAAGAAAATTTTGAAAGCAGTGTGAATCTGACACCCAAGTTGGAATGTGGAAATGCATACGCTTTTCTCAACTCATTTTCACAAAATTCATACTAGGCAAAAATAAACCAAATAGGAAATGTAGAAGAATTAAATCAATAATAAGAAAGGGATATAGTTATAATTCCCTTTTTCTTATCTAAAAGGTCCCAGGCTTTGAGATGCTACCTCTTGTAAATTAATAACAGTAACAGCAGGTGCTAACATTGAGTGCTCATTAAATATTAAACTGAGAGCTATACATGGATTATTTTACTTAATCCTCTCAATAACTGTGAGTTAGGTATTATTATTAGTCTCACATTACAAGCCAGGAAACCAAGGTCTAAAGTACTTAAATAATCTACCAAGGGCCACAGTGTTCACGTGTAGTGGAGCCAGGATTCAGCCTCTAGGTGGTCTGAATCCAGAGTCTGTGCTCTTAATCATTATGTAACTATGCTGTTGTTAATAATAACAGGGAAAAGAGAAAGGACATACTATTTAAGAATAGTAATATAGGTGATTACGTGCTTCTGAGAAACGAGTAGTATACTTAAAAAGTTAAAATGAAGAGTTTATCTTAGAAGACATTTTTCTTCTTACCTCTCTGAATTTCTGAAGGTATAATTTTAGAGGTTCTACATAACTGTCAAAGCCTAAGGTAGACATGGCAAAGAGAATATCTTCTCCATTGATTGTCTTGCGTTTCTCTTGATGGCATCTTTCACTTGCTTCAGATGTTATAAAGCTTATGAACTCACTCACACATTCTTGAACACATTCTTTGGCATCTTTTGCAATCTGAAGAGAAAAATCATAGGTAAATTTGCATGGAATATAACCAGCACCTTCCTACAATATGCAAAAATCAAAAGCTATTCAGAAGAATACAAATTTCAGTTATGACTGTTAATCATTAATCTTTGAAATATAGGCTAATAACATTGACACAATGTGTGCTATCAAGATTCCAGCCCTCACAGTGAGAATAAAAACTCGGAATAGAAGTGTGAAGTCTTGAGAGCTATTCACAGAAAACATAAAATTTAGGTATAAAAGCAACTGCTGGATGTCCTTACTACCCCATAAAGATGAAAACTTACTAACCAAGAAAATCAATCCCATCACGTATGTGGTATACACTGGGTGGGACTCAGTTACCACTTCTCTGCCCCAGCATTTCCATGAACAAGGCCACCAGAAAATTTTTTTTAAAAAGCACTGAATTCATGTAAGGCTTACAAGGGAGTGAAATAATGACACCTGGTGACATTTTTAGTACTAAAGATACATATTATCAGGTGCAGGTTTTGAGTTTATTAAAAAGCCTACCTAAAAGAAGCACACACTTGTCACATCATAAAAAGTTATTCTCTTAAAGGTCTGGGGTTTGAAAGTGAAACTCTGATGGACTGAATCATGCAATTCTGAAGGCACTTCTAACAGGAATGACAAAAATCCTTGCTGAAACATACTGTCTTTCACCTCCATGCCTTTTTTTTTTGGTATCATTAATATACAATCACATGAGCAACATTGTGGTTACTAGATTCCCCCCTATTATCAAGTCCTGCATGCCTATTTTACATCCTGGTAAGTAAAAGGAGTTGCATAAATGTAGTCAAGCAAAATACAATGTGAGCTGTATAGATAACTTTTGATTTTCTAGAATCTATGTTTTAAAAAAAAACAGGTGAAATTAACTTTCATATTTTTTAATTCGATGAAATAAAAATATCATTTAAACAGAATCAATTTAAAAATTGAGATATTTTAATGTTTTTCATACTAAGACTTCAAAATCTGTTCTATGTTTTACTATTACAGCACGTCTCAATTCAGATTAGCCACACTTCAAGTGCTAAAAAGTAATTACAAGTGGCCATTGGCTGCGGTGTGGACGGCCTGGCCTACTGCAGCCGCGATCAGCAGGGGTGCTTTTCTCGCCCCCAACATATGAGGAGGGCCTTTCAAACTGGAACTTCTAGTGATGTTTTTTCAATGATACATCTATCTGTAAGCTTTATTACTTTCATAAGTACTTTATAAACTATGATGAGAAAAGCTTATTATACAATATAAAACAATATAAAGAGGAAGGATTTTAATTCAGACTAAGCGATGAGAGTAACAATGAGTTTTTTAAAGTTATAAATAACTTTATATAAATTGTCTCATAAGGCAAAGCTAATTTTAAAAAGAATGCTATTCGAATTTAAATGTTAATATATTTTTGGGGAAAATCCTTACTACATCTGTGTTAAGTCCAATATGACCCAATTTGGCTGCAACATAAAATTATAGAAGTCACAACTTCATATGCCCAAACCTGGTATTTCTGACAATTACTTATTTTTTAAAACATTATCTCCTTCCAGTAAGTGGATGAGGGGGGCGGACTGGGGGATGTTACAGAATTGAAAATGGTATGCTCTTCAGTAACAAAATATGTAGAATTCAAATAGCTGACTTGCTGCAAGGCCAAATGACTGGAATCAACAGCTAACTGTATTCATGTAGTTCTACATTCTCCCCTCCATCCCCAAAAATACCTAGTTACATTTTTTTCTCTGCATTACCTTTCCTGTTTGAGGTATGGCATTTTTCATTATCCTTGCCACATTAGCAATTGGAAGATATATATCTTGTTCTCTAAAACTTTCTTTTGAACCATTTGTGTCTTCATGATCATTCATGCTGTCTTCAGTATCTAAAGAAATAAAAATAACTGGTTTAAAGCTGCTCAGAATTTTTGTTTCAAGATAGAGAAGACTACTTGAAATAATCTAAAAAAGAACCATTCTGGTTAATTTCCTAATCATTTCAGGGATTAGGACAGCAGCTCTTACCACAATTTTCTCAGGGCCATACCTGAACCTACTCATTCATTTTAAACCCACTGCCTAGAATACTTTTATCCTCAACTCTACTCAAATCCTACCCACCCATTCTCCAAAAAGCTAAAAAACATCTCCACAGCACCTTTAGGAGTGATCTCTCCTTTCACAAAATATCAGAAGCGCTTTCTCCATGTCTTTTGTCTGACACATTTTTTAATTCTTTCTGTTTCTCTTTCCCTCTATTCGATTTTTGCTACTTGAGGCCAGAGATCAACTTTGTGTCCTTCCTAGGGCTTGGTATATACCTGCCACAGAAAAGGTGCTCATAAACATGTGTTGTGTTGTGTGGCTTAGCTATAGAACTTACAGACTGTGACCTATGGCTCCTTGCATATTGCTACATTAAGAGGTGGTGTGTTTTTTCAAAGCCAAGTTTATACAGAATAGGAAAACTGGACTTAAGTATTACTGACCCAATTGGATTATTACTAATACAGTAATAGTATTTGAACAGTTATAGCAGTGATGCAACATTCTTATAAAAAGTGAATTTTCAAATTATATAATTTAGATATAACTGAAGTTTTCATAGTACTGTTAATAGCCTTTTATGCCTAAAGGAAGTATTTGGTAAACAAACTTCCCATTCTTTATATATATTAAATAAGAAAGGCACTTAAACTGATTCAGTTTACATTTGTGTTTAAAATGATGTTATCAAAATTAACCAGTTTGAGGACCTGTTCTAGAATGAAGTAACTAATCACCTGCCCCCACTTGCCTTCTACAAAAATGTATCTTAATATTTTTAAATTTTATACATCAGAATACCACAAAAGTAAATTATTTCTGATAGGCCAACACAATCTGCCATTCTAACACCTAACATAGTTCAAACATACTATTGAATGGAATATAGTTTGTTCCGAAGTACTAGTAATATAATAGCTAATAGCTAGCAACCCACCGTCTAAAGAACTATTTATTTTATCAACTGAACAAAAATTTGCCATGTTTATACTTAAATAGGAAATCAGTAACAAATGTTTAAACTATACTAGTTTTAAACAGGCCTACTTTTGTAGAATTCTAGAACTTCTGAAGTTTCACTCTTTTGAAAACTGTTTCTAATAAAAGTAGCATGGTACATACACTGAACTGTGACACAAGATTCTTACTTTCCTATAAAGACAAAAGTAACCTAGACCACCACATTAATAAAATCTCCACTTTCAAATTTGTTTCTCTTTGTGAATTTGTTTCTAACTGTGGCTTTCTTACCATCATGAGGCTGTATAACATAATGACTTCCTCCAATATAGTCTGCAGAAATTCCCAGTTGAGAAGCATCTGTTGTAGAGCTATCACCATCCATCTGTGAGGGGAAAAAAAGTTCTCAATACTCTTTAATAAAACTTGTCTAAAAATCAGAACAGATTTAATGTTCATAAACTGTCATAGGAGGGATCAATCACATTTTTCATGGCCTTAAGCTTAGTAAAAGAAAACATTTGTATTTCCTGATTTTGGAAACTTTTCAATAATTTGTCAACGATTCAAAATTCCCCTATCCACCCTCCAGATGTGATAAGCGTTAGACCAACAGAGAAACAAAACAAGGAAATTAATCTGAAACATCTCTTTCAACTGCATAATCCTCAAGTACAGCACAGACAACCCTGACTTATCCCTGGAATGTCAAGCAAAGCCCAAATGAGCTTAGTAGTCACCTTGAAATCACCTCTCTCCATCGCTTGGCTATCAGCTCTCCTGCTGATATTCCAATCAAACCCTGCTGCAAATTTTGATGTCTTTGATGTCTCACAGAAGTTCCACAATAGACAATGTCTTGGTTCAAACTGTTATGTGGTATAAAAAGAATATGATTCCTTGCACAATTCTATACCCATGCAACCCAAAAGTATATCCACATTTTGAATGAGCCCAACACCTCTAATCCTAGTAAAAGGTTAGTTTTCTCTTCCCCCAGCATCAAATTTTTTATTCTTTAAAGAAAAAAGAGTCAGGGAGATTGGAGATCTGCACATAATGATAAGAAAATTTTAACTATAGACAAGAATGAGTTAAAATGACTATTTTAAAGGAACCCTGTTAAATTAACTTTGCCCAGAGCTAAATTCTAAGAGGAAAAATCTGAAGAAAACTGAACCATAAGCCCTGAACTGTCTTCATTCCATTTCTTACAACATGGCAAAAGTTGGAAGTCTTTCTGTTTTGCTAATAATACTGTTCAAGACAATAAGGGACTGGCTATTTGTGGGTAGAAAATTTTTAAATGTATTATCTGAATAAGAAGTGTAGCAAAAATAAAGTATAATCTATACATGCTTTTAGACAAACTCAAGAAGAGACGCTTAGCCCTAAATGTTTATCAAGGCCCAGGAACCAGCAGCACAGACTTAATGTATTAATTGCAATATTTGCATCCTTGTGTAACACATCATCTTTTCTATCTCTGTTGGATTTTTATTTAATACTAAACAAACCAGGCTAGTTTCCAAGTCTTCAATAACAGCATTTCTTTGATGCATCTGTTGACTGTGGTATCTAATTTAATTGTAGATACAGATACACTTAGCAAATATATCTGCTGATACTTTTAGTGGCCTCTAAGAGGTGGTAAACAGTCAGTGAGCTCTGATTCTGACTCTCCTAGGAATCCCTGAAAAGAAATATCCCTACCAGTTAAATACATTTCCAAATAAAATGGAAGCAACACTATCACCTGGCCCATCTTAAAAAGCTAATGTAAATGAATGTGAAACATTACCCAAATATATAATGCTATTTTGATCTTAATATGCTAACAAGATACCAGGAGAGTAGTCATTAATCAGAGAAGATAAATATGATATGATGGATTTATTAACCATGAGAGAGAGCTCAGTTAGGATGGCTGTGAATTCACTAGTTTTTATAATGTCCTAAGAGAGAGAAAAGGTTCAGGAGACAGGACCAAAATGGTTGTTTCAGAACCTATAAATGGAAACAAATCTTCTTTTGGGTTGAGGGCAGTAACAGAAATTCTTTGCTAAATCAATGTCCAAAGCATACCCTCAGTCTTTATAAATTAGTTATGAGCAGGACACTCACTATTAACAAACCCAGGATGTCGGAGATTAATTTATGAAGTTAACATTAAAAAGTGTTAAAGGCAAAAAATTAAAATATTATCTTGTCATGCACTGCAATTAGCAGCAAGATTATCATTTTGGTTAACAGCATTAGCCTGTAAATCTCAAGCCTTCTAAAAGTATTTCATACAGTTGTCAGAATTAAATAAAGTACAGCAACCTGCTACGGGCACTTTGGGCACATACTGTAGTCAGGCAACCTGAGATCTCATCGTCCCTCCTTTGCAGATAAGCTGCATTTCATCTCCTTAGCTGTTATGTGTCTTTGGTTCCACGTTTCAGGCTGTCATTTCACCACACCTTGGTCTTCCTCCCCTTTACCTTGCCACCATTAAAGTTCTGTCCCATACTTTAATCCCAATGTTCCCCCATCCTCCTGAAATCTGATTTACCACATTCCCATTCCATAAGCCAAAATTAGTGTTCCCTTCTTTGAATCCCCAAAGCGCTAGTACCTTCCACTCAAAAATCAGCCTCATCTTCAATGCTTACAATATGCTAGCCACTACATATATACACACATATATACATACATATATATGAAATGAGGGGGGGGAAACTTGGTAGATCCACTTCAAAGGTTTTTTTCTAGGTCTAAAACTTTCTATAAAAGTTTACAAAATAGACTGTAAGCTAGTCAACAAATATTTATTGAGTAAGCACTCAGTATTTATCAGGCCTGTGCTGGGTGCTGACGAGGTAGCAGTCAACAGCTCAGACAAGGTCTCTGTCCTCATCTCACACAGAAGACAAATATGCAAACTGGGTAGGGGGAAAGGGGTGGGAAGAGTATCCTATCAGTACTTCCAAGGCACAGGCTCTAGATTCAGATCACCTGATTTGAACTCCCTGCTACTTATGGCCATGAGACCTTGAGCAAGTGGGATGAGAAAAGGATACTTCCAAGGCACAGGCTCTAGATTCAGATCACCTGATTTGAACTCCCTGCTACTTATGGCCATGAGACCTTGAGCAAGTGGGATGAGAAAAGGACTTGCCATGTAAAGACTTAGCACGGCACAACAGGAGTACTCAGTAAAGCATATATGTGGCTATTAACTAATTGCTAGAGCTAAGTGCTAAGGAAAACAAAGACGTTTTGTTATATGCTTTGGGAGTTATTCTAAAAGGGACCTCACTAGTCTGAGGTGTCAAGGAAGGTCATCTGAGGAAATGACATTTAAACTGAGGCTGAAGGATGAATAGAAATTGGTTATGCAAAGGAAGATGTGACAAGAATGTTCCAGGCAAAGAAAACAGAAATACAGCACTGGTGGATCAGAATGAGTTAGAAGGTAGAGGCTAGATCAAGTAGTGCCTTGTAGACAAGAGCAAATCAAGGAAGACTTTTAGGGGAAGAGTGCAAATCAGATTTGTTTCTTAAAAGATCACTTTGGCTATAGTCTCGGATGGAAAATGAACTGGAGAGGAGCAAGAATCGGGGCAAAAGGACCAGAACAGATCACAATGATGCAGTTAGGGCATGAATTCAGGCAAGATGATTAACATTCCCGGTATCCGTCCAGGACATCAGCACTGGACATCAACAGAGGCTGGGAGACAACAGACTTGGTGACTAAGAACCAGAGGAAGGACCACGGATACTGCTGGGACTCTTACAGCCAAGTAGACAGATGGCTGTCACTGAAGAGCGCAGGGAAAGGAATAGGTGTTGGGCAATGCAAAGAGCCCAATTGAAGCTGGTGACCACGAATGAATAGTGGACTGACTGTCGAGTTGTGACACTTACAGGCCTGGATTAAGAATAGAGAAGCTTAAGTGTAGGGTTTCATCCAGGTAACAAAGAGCAAAAAGCATGTGGGATAATGACAACAGAATGGGTAAAATGATGCATCCTTAGATCCAAGGGAATTGATAAAAATGGACAAAGAACAGTTAAATCCCATGACATTTATTTTATTGACTATTTTAAAAACTGACTTGAACTGGTAATATTGTTCTCTAAAATATTCCCTCAAATAAAAGGTCAGTCGGCTGAGCTAATGAATTTTTATCCTGCAACGTTTTGATGTAGCAGTAAACTATACTGATGTGTTGTACAGATGCAGTAAACAGTGCCCTCTTCAATAGGTTCAACATTTACTGAACACTTTTTAAATAGCTAGTGCAGTGTTCATGACCCCATGAAGCAGGTGAGAAAACAGGTGGTATGAGGCTAATGACTTGCCAAAGATGACACAGGTAAATGGGACTGAAATCCAGAGTCTCAGATGCCAAGTACCTGACAGTGTTTGTTTTTCAAGTTTTACTATAGTAAAAGTTCTCATAGTTTTTCCTATTGTCTTTAAGCCTAAAGTTTTAATTTGCCCCCTCTAAATTCTAAGTCTACTGATTGTATATTGAAAACATTTAAGGTTGCTTCTCAAACAAGGACATTATTTGTGAAATGGAAAGAAATGCGCCTGGTTTCAAGTCCCTCTTCCCAGGAGCAGTGATTTGGGGCACTGGTCTTTGGGCAGACCACCTGGGTCTGCAGCTGGACTCCCCATTTACAAGCTGTGTGTTTTTCCTTACCATCCTCCTTGTGCTTCAGCTTCCCCAATTTTAAAATGGGGTTCCTATGAGAGGGGTGGGGTATAGGTTAAGGGGATTATAAAATAAGTTATAAAGTAAGTAAGTCATGAGAAATGGTACAGCATAGGGAAAAAAAATCAAAGGAAACAATAAAATGGGGTTGCTATGAGAAGTGGTTTTATAAAAAGCACTTTGCAAAGTGGATGTACATAGTAAGAACTCAACAAATGTAACCTGGTATTACTACTGCCTGTTCAAATACAGTTCTCATCATTCTTTGTAGGCATGAAGAGTTTTCTCTCACATAACCCCTTTTACTAGATCAGTTCCTTTTTATCTCTTTGAGGATAAGAACACAAAGATTCCTCATTCACCTCTAATGTGTCTTCTCCTCCTTCACCAGCTTCTTCATTCATCCTTAGACATGCTTAAGTCTCTCTCTTTACACACACAGAAGTACGTATAGACATACAAAACCTTAATTCTGCTCCTCACCCTTGTCCAGCTACCATTCTCCTTACACACCTCTTCATTTCTATTTAAACTCTTGACATGTGCTTTTCCACCCCAACATGATGCTGAACTGCTCTTAAAAGCTGCCAATAATCTTGCATTCACCCTACTGACTGTTCTTTGTAGTGCTGGTCATTGCTGCCAGCACATTTATTCTGTGAATTCTCTTCTTCCATACAATATTCCTTCCTGGTTTATTCTTTCCTACTCACCCCCACTAATTATTAGTTTTATCCAAGGTTATCACTTTCCCTTTCTTCCCTTATTCATTTAATGAACTCATTAAATATCACTTCTATGCTCATAAACCCTAAGTCTATAACCATATCCTGCCTGTAACTCAAACAAGTCATGCCTGCAGAACACGTCTGATATCCCATCACTGCCAACTGAAGATACTGGAAAAATGAAACTCACTGTCCCCATCCCCTGCAAGGAGGCAATGGAGGAGAGCTCCTTGATCTCTTTTCCAAGGACTGCAACCCTACTAAGAATGATACTACACCAGTGTCATCTTGGGTCCCCCCATCTCCTCCAACATCTACCTAATCTGTTACGTCTCTTAAAATGTCTTCTGGAGATGCCTTTCCCTCTGTGCACTGGCTTACTGCCCAACCTGGGTACATACTGTTTTACGACTAACCCCGTTAAAACACTGCTGTATAGCTCTTGAACCGATAATGATCTTAAAAGTCTTTGGCATCAAATCCAAACCTAGTTTCCATGGCTTTACACAAGTGGATCCCTCACTTAACCTAACTAAACTTGGTTCCAACTCTGTCTTCAGGGCTGATACAAATCTTAGTGCTAGAATGTGCCTTCTTTAGTGATCACCAGGTAGTTATTTTAGAAGCGAGGCAAGCATAGCTCAAGGAAGTTGTGAAATGCCTGATGTCACAGATATAGTAGCAGAACCATAGCTCAGTATCCAGACAAGCAAGTGATATCTCCTCAGTAGACTATACTGTGAAATCCCCACTCGGAGCACAAAGACCAGCTCCACATCCCCTAAAACATAAGTTACTCATCTTTCCCTTCTGGCTTTGCTGTTAGTGATACCCTCACCTATCCAAATCCCACGCATTCTTCACGGCTCAGATAGAGGCCAACAGGCTCCCTTCCTGACGTGCCCGACTCCGCAGGCCTACCACAACTCTCCCCGTTCACTTACACTACCGACCGAACCAGCATTTTCTGTTTAGCGCAGAATGTCCTTTCAGTATTCAATCTTACTAAAGCTGTGCCAGCTAAACAGCCTCTCAAGAGCCAGGACAAGCTTTTTACCCTGTAGCCGTGATACCACTTAGAGGCCCACAGGAAACAATACATGCAAGTCACTAAAAAGAAGGAAGCCACGAGAATGAGGAGAGGTACAGTTGAGACGTGAAAGGCATTCATTCTATCAGAAACCTCCAATTTAAATGTTATCATTTTGTTTCCAGCTAATTACTGTTAAATCCAACTAACAACCAAAATGGTACTTACTGTCATGAAATACTGTCAGAACTGTGTTGTCAGTGGTGTTCAAGAACACCTGTCCGAATAGGTGTTTAATCTTTTCCCAATTTCAACCTAGAAGATAAAACATCTATTAGTAGTAAAAACACATAGCCTACAAGCTTTCTTCCTAATAAAAATTTAATAAGGCACATATAATTTTATCTACTGTTCCTATTCAATGAAGTGCATGGATATAAAATGACGCAAAAAACAGGCAGCAAATAAATGTTCATTAAATTGGAAGATAAATTTTGGAGAGCTTACAAAAAAGTTAAATCTTTCTGTTTCTGCCGGAGGGGGGATTGCTTTTCCAACATAACCCTGAATTTAGTCACTTTCATCATAAATATGCATCACAACACACCAAATTACATTAGACCAAGAATTACACAACTACACCACTTAAAATATTAACACCCAAGACACAAACACCCCACTTACCAACTTAATTTTTTGGTGATGTTTTCTTAAATGTTTTAGAATGAGATTTAAGAATTCAAAAGCTCAAACGGGGAGAAAAATTTATCTCAGAGTATAATGCTTTTAAAAGCCCCAAATTATATTGGACAGAAGATAAACACCATCCAGAGAACATGCATAGAATGACAATCAATTAAGACCTTTACTTATCATTTTAAAGTACCACCATCTTGGACTAAAACTGTATCTGAATAGCACTTCCTTCTCACTGTAAGGCTTAAATAGCTGAATAAATGTGTCAATTACAATGCTACAAGCTCCATTTCTTTTTCAAGGGAAACAATTAAATGAGGGGCAAAACAAAAACACAACCTTTCAGTGTTAATTTTAAAGGAAGAAAAAAACAGTGATATGCATTCAAGCACAAAATCCAGTGAATAGCAGGAAAACTGTAGCCACTGAATTGAATTTTTAAAATGCCATTACAAGGGCCCAGGCAGCAGACTGGCTGACATTGTCTACTCTGCTGTAAACTTAAAAGCAATTTCTAACTTCTTTTTAAATACTGTCCTATTTCTAACCCCAAAACTGCCCCCCAAATTCCTGTACCCATAAGTGTTATTTTCTTACTGGTGTCTCTGGGGGAAAAAAAATCCTCAGAACAATTAAAATACAGGAACCATATGTATTTCTGTATTTTGCTTGGAGTGGGGCAGGGTGGGGAGGTAGGCACCAACCTCACCACAATCACTCACCAAAATAGATGAGTCAGTGTACATTCAGATTCAGTATATTAAAGAAAAACACTATCAACTCATATGGTATATATTATCTCCAATGCAGGTTATGCTATATATGAAAGCTCAAGGGAATGCATACATCTGTTTGTTTGAAGAAATGCAAATTTGTATCCAGGAAAAGCAGCAGACCCTTCTTCCACCCTCCAGTCTTTGGCATTAACAAATCCAGTTTTGCACCTAAGTAATACAGGGGCAGTGCGCGTAAAGAAAAATTGCCTTTTAAGGAATTCTGGTTAAACTTTCAATACTCTACAAATAAAATCTCTATATATATTAATGTCACTCATATCGATCAATTCACCTCATCACTTTTTGTTGCTGATTAGTTTCCATACTAAAAACGCCCAAACAGCCGTAGTGATTCATGGCACAAACCACGGAACTGTGGAGGCCATGCGGGTTGGTGGGATACTATTTTTTTTTTAAAGGTCCTGTGCTACCTAACCTTGTTTGAATTACCCTGTTATACTACTTTAGAGAAGATCATGACTTGTGGGTGCTCCGTAATTCTTTGTTCTCGGAGACTACTGCTCCTAAGGCCCGGCTTACCCCCTCCGCCTCCCACCGAAGATGAAAACCTTAGCCCAATCCGAAAGGCTTTCTTCCCACCTTCGGGGCAAGTCCAGGGACCGCAAGCCGCCAGATGGCTGCATTCTTTACGTGTGAACCAGACTGCGGGGAAACCAAATCCGTTCCTTCCTCCCGGGGACCTCGCTCACTCCCCAGCGGAGGCGCCCGGGCTGACCCGAACCCCACCGCCCGGCCGACCTGTCAGTCCCGCCTGTGCGCTGCGGACGCCCCCGGCGCGCATCCCCCGGCCCGTCCGGCCCAGGCCCCGGGCCCGCGCCCCGCCTGCCACCAGCCCGCCCCGCGGCGCCCGGGGTGCCGGGGCGGACAAAGCGGCCCGGCCCCGCCATGCCCCCGCGGACGGGCGGCGTAAGGGGGGCTCCCCGGGGACCCCCGCGCGGCGGCCAGGCCAAGGGGCAGGGTCGGGGCCAAAGTCCGGGCCGCGTCCCACGCCCGGCTCCCCGCACAAAATGGAGCCGGCGGGGCGCCGCCGAGAGGGGGTCCAGATGGGGCTCCGACGCCCCCTCCTCGGCTTCGGGCCCGGAGCTCGGCGGCGGCGAGCAGGCGGCGGCCTGGCCCGGGTCCCGCCGCTCCTCGGCCCCGCGCACAAAGACCCGCGCCGCGGCCCCGCGCCCGCTCCCGCTCCCCGGCCGGCCGCGCCGCGGGAGCGGCCTCGCAGGCGACGGCCTGGCCCCGGCCCGGGCGGGAGGGCGGGCGGGAGGGAGGCGAGTGGCCCCGGCCGCGCGGCGTTGGCGGCGGGGACGGCGCCGGGAGGAGACGGAACACATAGCCTACAAGCTTTCTTCCTAATAAAAATTTAATAAGGCACATATAATTTTATCTACTGTTCCTATTCAATGAAGTGCATGGATATAAAATGACGCAAAAAACAGGCAGCAAATAAATGTTCATTAAATTGGAAGATAAATTTTGGAGAGCTTACAAAAAAGTTAAATCTTTCTGTTTCTGCCAGAGGGGGGATTGCTTTTCCAACATAACCCTGAATTTAGTCACTTTCATCATAAATATGCATCACAACACACCAAATTACATTAGACCAAGAATTACACAACTACACCACTTAAAATATTAACACCCAAGACACAAACACCCCACTTACCAACTTAATTTTTTGGTGATGTTTTCTTAAATGTTTTAGAATGAGATTTAAGAATTCAAAAGCTCAAACGGGGTGAAAAATTTATCTCAGAGTATAATGCTTTTAAAAGCCCCAAATTATATTGGACAGAAGATAAACACCATCCAGAGAACATGCATAGAATGACAATCAATTAAGACCTTTACTTATCATTTTAAAGTACCACCATCTTGGACTAAAACTGTATCTGAATAGCACTTCCTTCTCACTGTAAGGCTTAAATAGCTGAATAAATGTGTCAATTACAATGCTACAAGCTCCATTTCTTTTTCAAGGGAAACAATTAAATGAGGGGCAAAACAAAAACACAACCTTTCAGTGTTAATTTTAAAGGAAGAAAAAAACAGTGATATGCATTCAAGCACAAAATCCAGTGAATAGCAGGAAAACTGTAGCCACTGAATTGAATTTTTAAAATGCCATTACAAGGGCCCAGGCAGCAGACTGGCTGACATTGTCTACTCTGCTGTAAACTTAAAAGCAATTTCTAACTTCTTTTTAAATACTGTCCTATTTCTAACCCCAAAACTGCCCCCCAAATTCCTGTACCCAGAAGTGTTATTTTCTTACTGGTGTCTCTGGGGGAAAAAAAATCCTCAGAACAATTAAAATACAGGAACCATAATGTATTTCTGTATTTTGCTTGGAGTGGGGCAGGGTGGGGAGGTAGGCACCAACCTCACCACAATCACTCACCAAAATAGATGAGTCAGTGTACATTCAGATTCAGTATATTAAAGAAAAACACTATCAACTCATATGGTATATATTATCTCCAATGCAGGTTATGCTATATATGAAAGCTCAAGGGAATGCATACATCTGTTTGTTTGAAGAAATGCAAATTTGTATCCAGGAAAAGCAGCAGACCCTTCTTCCACCCTCCAGTCTTTGGCATTAACAAATCCAGTTTTGCACCTAAGTAATACAGGGGCAGTGCGCGTAAAGAAAAATTGCCTTTTAAGGAATTCTGGTTAAACTTTCAGTACTCTACAAATAAAATCTCTATATATATTAATGTCACTCATATCGATCAATTCAAAGCTGTAGCGTGGCGCGGGCCTATGGCCCCGCTCGGCCGGGGCTTCCAGAGGCGACTCCGGACACGTGCTCCGGTCTGTGCGGGCTTTCTTCCCACAGTGGTTCCCGGGGCCTCTGCGAACCGTGATTTCTCAGGCCTCCCTCTCTTTTCACTCCCCTCCCTCCCCCACGTGGAAGTGTCTCATCTTCCTGAGTGCAGCCTGCCTGCGCCTCGATTTTGAAGAAGGGGAAACCAAGGGCAGAAGCCGCCGGCCAGGGCAGCACTCGAGCTACCGGGTGGATTTAAACGGCGGTTACCTCCTGGAACGCCTTCAGCACCTCGTGTTTTCCTTGTGTCCCTGTTAACGTCGCCAAATGCAGAACGCTCCCTCCCACTTGGTCACGGAGCCCGGGTGTCCGCTTTTCATATTGCATCTAAGGATACAATCCCCTCCTTCAGGTTTAACAGGTTGGTCAGTCTAGCCAGCCTTCACCCTGAACTTAAAATGTTGCATTTCCTGCCTCCCCCACTCCCATAGTAGCTGCAAACTGACAGGAGGCTTTTCCCAACCAGATGATGTTTGGGTTGCAAGAATGCACAGCCTGTTCTTGCCTCAGCGCAGCCAAGCTGCCTCGCTCTCTTTCCCCGACTGCGGTCTGGGTCGGCCTCCCTCGCTCGCAGCGGGAGCCAGACCACCCACTGCCAAGGGCGGCGGGATCCCGCTGTGGCAGCCGAGAGCCGCGAATCCGCGTTCCCTTTACTTCCACCAAACAAGTGGCCTATGCCACATTTAACATTCCAGCTTTACTCCTTTTAAAAATGTATAGACATGTTATATTTATAGAGCTCGTACTGTTTCTTCGCATATTTTATGCGGAGCAAATAAGGAAGCACCGCAAATGAAAGCCTCCGAATTATTGCAAAAGGAGCAAGTAGCTATGCCACTATGGAATCGGACAACCTGATCTGAATTACAGCTCCCCCTGTTAGTGGCGTGTGACCCTAGCCAAATTTTTTTACCTTTCTGAGATAGTTTCCTCACCTCCATAATGGGAGCAATATCAGCTCCGTCTTAGAATTGTTTGAAATTGAATACACATAGCCCTAAAAAAAGTTGGCCCACTATCTTAAAATCTTTCAATCACCAGCAAACTTTTAAAACTTCTTACTTGCTAAAAAGGAGTCAAATTGGCCTGCCTTTAACTCCTCCCTTTATGATTACCCATAAAGTGGAGTTTATTAAAAAGGAAGTAGTAGAATTAGAAGAAGGATGACTAATCCACACACTGGATGATGAACCAAAAGATGCAAAGATGCCCGCTTTCTCTGAGTTGATGTGATGGTATTGCAGTACCGTGGACCTACTGGACATGCTTTAATTCAAATTCCACAGAAAAGCTCATTCAGCTACTACTGTTTACCAGGCACAGTGCTAGGAATCCCATGGGTGCGAAGGGGAATAAAGCACTCTCCTGACCCTAGGGAACTAACTCTAGGGGACAGGGACCCTGTTCACACCACCTCTGCAGTTAAATCTCAGGTCACTCTGCCTTTTTATATTCAGCAATCCGTCCAATAAGTGTTAACCATTTTTGGTGACTGCACCGGGAGAGAGAGAGCTGTGGGTCACAATTTAGTCTTGGAAAAAACATTATCTAGACTAATCTAGACTTTGCACTAAAGGTTAAAAGACAGGTGATTGTCTTTTTTTTCAAGTCCATAACCATAGCTGACCCTTAATTTATAGCACTATTGATGAGTCATAATTCACCAAACAATAAAACAGAATCATTAGCACAATGAAGACTCCTTGGTTGGATTTTACTTTGTGACTTTAATGGGGCCTCAGAGAATTCCCACGATGACACCGCCCAGTAGAGTATGGTTTCTGTTTCCAACTTCCTGGTTCTCTTTGTACCCCTCTCTGTTCAGTCCATTCTATGCACTGAAGGCCTGGAAGGATCTGGTTTCTGCTTCCCTCTCCCACCCCAGCTTGTGCCTCTCCCTATGTCCCCCCTCTCCTCCACCTTTAAGACACAGTGGTCTTGGCTCTGCTACACACACACACACACACACACACAC